AAGGTGTTATAAAAGCAGAATCTGTTAAGCAGTAGTACAGCCCAACCTCAATAATTAAGACTAATTGAGCAGAATGAACGAATGCCAGGTCCAGTGCTTTAAAAGCGCCTTGCAGGACGCCTCTCACAGGGTAGGTGAAAAGTAAATATTTTGGTAGATTTATTCACATTGTGGCTAGGAAAAACCTGTGGTTAGAGAACTTGCAGGGTAACTGGTAAGCGTCTGGTAACAGAGCACTTTCACATTACATGATTTTTTCCAAATTATTTGAGAAAATTTCAAGAAATACCCTACTGCTTTGATACTTTTAAACTTCCCTAATGTTCTTGTTTATCTAACATCACATATTTTTCCATAGCAATCTGAATGCCTACCTTCAAGAAAGCAAATTTCAACCTCATTTTGTCCTAATTACAGCAAATACTGGGGAGTGACATTTAAACAGTGAGCATTTACAAATATATCTGATTCCTCCCAAGGGCGAGAGTGTAGGGGGCCTTCCTCACTCTAGACACCTACGAAGAGTGGTTTTGTCCCTGTCCCCATTAGCTTTGCAGATCCTGGTATTAGGCAGGGAGGGTGTGGTTCTGAGCTGGGGCAGTAGTGAGGCAGAGGACACAAGAGTGGAGAAGTGTAACTTCTGAGCTAGCGCCCCCTGGCTTCTTTCTTGAAGATAAACAATGAGGGCACAGAAGGCAAAATCCATTCTGTAGAGTAAGGGACAGACAACTGACTACCTGTGAGGTGCTTGGGTAGGCACTGCAAGGGGTAAGAAATGAATATACACCATGGAGAAAAAATGATTGATTATTATGTTTAGAAATATTGTGTAGCAAGACAAGTAACGGAGATGTGGGTTAGATTTTTCTAGGCCACCAAGAAAAGTTCTGACAATTCTGTTCTAAGGTTTTTGAAGTTGAAAAAGATTTTCTATTATCGTATGTCTCAAATCAGTATCCTGATACGTTGCTAGTAGCACATCTTACAGATAGATGAGCACATTATCAAATGTTCATTTGTCTTTCAGATTTAACAATTATTACAATCACATTACTTCCTTGAAACTGCTCAGCTCAAAGAAACAATAAATAATACTGAGTTAACAGTCTATAAAACCTATGCATCTGACAAATATAATGTTCAACTTTTCAATTAATTGTGGAACACTTAGAAGGAAACAAAACATTCAAAAATTATAATTTCCAAAAAAATTCAAAATCAGAATTTCTAAGTATGTAAGAAAACACTTTGGACGTTATCTATATCTAACAGCCTATAACTGAACTTCCTATCTGTATAAAAAAAAAGGGTTTAGAACAAATATCTACTCTTCACCCCTCCTCTCACCCCTCATCTGGGTAGATTTTATTTATGCATTAGACGACCTTTTTGGCCATTAGAACCATCTTGCTTCAGCAGTTAATTAACACAAGTACCATAATTTAATACAGTTAATGCTACTTGATGCCCTTTAATGTACCTTCCATTAGTGATATTATTGTAGTATTACCCTGTAAATTAAAATGAGATCAAGACTAAGAGAGCCACTCTTTAATTAAGGTACTGGCACACTGCACTCGTCTATTATTCACTAGAGAAAATCACCCTGATTTACTGAAGTAGGACATCCATAAGTCAGAATTAGTCCATGAAGATTATTAGGTTTATTGAACAATGTAAGTACTATGGAGTCGCTGAGATTGCCAACAGCCATGTTTCCTCTTTTCCCTCCATTAATAAATACACAGTGAGAGGGAGTAAATGGAAGCAGCCAAAGAGCCATAACAGTTTTAAGATGGAATTACAGTTTTTGTCACCAGTAAAATAGGTATGAGATGTGTCGCATGCTAAAAGGAACACAAATGCTACATTAGTCTAATAACAATCAAAACATCACTTTTACACCAAACAGTCCTAGCCAGTATAAAACATAAAGGCCATGTGCACATGTGCATGGAAAGTTGAGAACCAGAATTCAGAGGCAATTCAAAGACTCTCCACCCGTGTTTGTTTCACAGCTGAAAAATCTTGTATTGCCTGTCCACTATTTTATGGATACCTGCCCACTCTCCCCAGATAATTCATGCCAATTCCCACCTTATGTTGTGGGTGGTAGTAGAGTGACAACTCCAAAAGTATTATTATGATGACCAGATATAGACATGTTATGGCACGTTAAATGGTGCAGTTGTTTCATGGATGGTGAAGAGAGGGTTGAGGGAAACAAAGACCTGGTCGTATTGTGGAAAGTTTATACTGATGGTGTCTCTGAAAACGAACCCTCAGAACTTTCTTTTGGACATCATCATCAATTAATATTCAATCCTTCTATAGATGTTTTGCTATCTAAGAAAAAGACGACCTAGACCATTAACCCTACTGAAGTTTTCCAAGGTAAAATGTATGTATCAGCTTCTGTGCTGAAAGGCCCATGCACCAGTGGCAGCTCAAGAGCTCCCTTTAATACCTCCATTTCCCTTATATAACTTAAAAGCTGGAGACACAACCGAGCCATCAGGCCTTGTTTCCTTAGTCCCTCCCCTAAGACTAAAAATACCACAGCCATCTGGTGCCTAGCACAGTACAGGCCAGCATCAGTTTTGCCCTGAGGAATTTGGACAGGGTTTAGAGGTGACAGAGAGGGACCTTATGGAAGGAGCTCACCTCTACTGGACCTTTCTCTCTTGCCCAGCTGTTTCCGCCCTAGCTTACAGTTGACTGATGAACAGGGAAAGACTGCAGAGGTGAGATCCAGAGAAGGGAGGATGGTTCCTGCAAACTCCCCAGAGCCACTGAAATGCAGTTGAAGGATACTGGTAGGATCAGGGATGAAAGAAAAGTGGTAAATCTGGTGGGAATCTACATTTCTAACATGCCACTTTTAGGGGATAGTATGTCTGACCCCAAAAGACAATGCATGAAAATGCCTGTCACTTTAAAGCGTATTTACAACTCTCTTTCTTAAATAATACGGGGAAACAAAAATGAATGTGCAGTAACAGAAATAAGCCCCATCAATGATTACTTCCCAACCAAAAGCTTCACAAGATTGTCTTCTTTACAAGTAGAATATGATAGTGTTTGCAGAAGTTGGAGTCTTATGGATTTGGGCTTGGACTAAATATTGATCAAATTGCAAGAGAACGGAATGAGATGATTTTATCTAACAGTGTAAATCACACTAGGATTCAAATTCAAATCTAAGTTTATGAATTTTGACATTTATTCTTGTAGAGGTACAGAACGCTTGTTACTTTGTTGTAGAATGCTATTGTTAATCATATCAACATCAATTATTTTTATATATTATAGTCCCCAAGAATAAGAACTGGAAGCTGATTATCTCTTGCTAAAATGTTTATGAGTAAAATGGCAATATTTTACTATAAATAGCATATTCACATTTCAGGCAACAGTTCCAGATTGCCCTCTCGTGGCGCCCTGCTAATGCACAAACTTTCTTCTACATCCTGGAACCCGCAAGCTCAATATTGTACCAGTGCATATTGCTCTCAGGAATATTATTTTGCTTTAAAGATATCTTCATCATATGTTACCAAGACCTTAGTTAAAAGTTTTTAAAGAGGCTCCATTGCTAAAGACTCCTGACTCTTCCAGAAGGAACTTGAAGCTACAACAAAGTTGAGAGTAGGTGGCCACCTGTTCCTACCACTACCTCTACTGAAACCTCTACTATCATACTGAGGTCATGCCCACCACTCCACTCTGTGTGCCCTCTATGGCCTTTACCTTAACATCAGTGACCTCTCCTTCCTTCTAGTGTATATATACAACAACACTATCATCAAAAGATAGACTGAGTCAACTCTTGGAAAGACCAGGGAGTCTCAACACTTCTCCAATTTCTGAGGCCAGGGCTGCCCTAAGGGATGCTGGAAGCCAGTAAACTTAATGCAGCCTGCTGTATTTATTTAAATTGTATGATTGCTTAATGAAAGTTACATGATTTATGGACTGTTTATATTCTTAACCTCATATATTCTGACTTAAATCTGTCTTGGCATTTTTAGGATGGTTGTTGCTTTGCTATCTCTTTTTTCCATTTTGCAGTATACCTCACTCATCTTTAGTTTTCCCAACTAATTACCTCATGCTTCAACTCCCATCAGTTGGTTATGTGGATACCAACCATACCACAGTTAGAAATCTGGTTGAACAGCTCTACCTTAGAGTCCCTGGTTCTTATTACTTGAGTTTTTCATTAAAACATCCTCAAAATTCTTGGAAACTTGCTCAAGTATGTCTCTGACGTAGTATCAAAATCAAAGATATGCCAGCCTGTTGACCATTAAGGGGTTTAAACTCTGGTTCATTTGTAACTGGCCCCCAAAGTGAAGGGAGCCTGCCTCTCAGGACCATATATAAATGGCAGCCTATCTTTTTAAGTCAATAACCACCAAAACTCTGAAAAGCAGGGCTCCCTCCTTTTTAACAAATGCATCGTGCTTCCTAAATGCTTTTGGTTCTGATTTAATAAATTTAAAGGGATATAGTTGCAGTTTAGAAACTTTTTTTGTGTGCAATACAATGAAACATAAGCAGAGAGCTGTACCATGTAGAAACCCTGTCTGGCATTTAAAAACAATGGAAAGACGTATTTCTTGTTTTTCAGTATCCTTTCTAGAGCAGCTGGCTTTGTTCTCCCTGGCTTCATTGCCTTAAAGACTTAAACCACCCCCTGATCTAGGGAGTTCCTTGGATTCAAATAAGTTGCTGCTTTTTTTTTTTTTTTTTTTTGTCTTCTGTTTAAATTCTAAGAAATCCTGCCAGGTTCAGGTTCAGTGACAGTGAGTCTGGAATCACAAATTACTGCTGAGTCAGAGGGGCCTCAAATTTCCCTGAACCCAGCTCTAGACTGGTGTTCCTGAGAAAATGCTGTACTAGGAAGTGACAAATGTGACTCTACAGGAGTGGGACCACCACACTGGCATTTTCTTTGGACAACCACTTTCATTCAAGTCAGACAGATGTTTTCTTACCTTCCGTGCACCTTTATGTCTGAGATCGCGTAAAAGTAGCGTGCCAAGTGTAGCTCATCTACAAATATTTCCCCAACCGCTGGTCTCAAAAGCCTTATCCTCAGGTCTGTGACTGTAAAGAAATCTCTGAGTTTCTTGGTTGTATCCAGCTGTCCGTAGAGAGAAGCCATATTGCGTAGCCATGGTCCAGCAAAAAACGCAAACCTGTCTTTGATTTCAAAGTGGATTATTTTGCTATTCGTCATGTACCCTGTAGAGTACTCTTCGGTGCAAATGATTTCTAAGACTGTATGCTGTGATAAATCCTTCACAGATTTGGGATCCATGTGAAAAGCATCTAAGCAGTCTGTGGCATAATACTGATAGGGCTGCCATGTTCGTCCATAATCGAGAGATTTCTCCAGGATCATTTGGTCTGGACGCCCCGATTCAAAGGTAATAACTATGTTGTCTGTGAGCTCAATGGTTTTGCTCCAAGACAGAGTGATGTTAACCTGGAGAGGCTTGGGATATTCCTTCCAAGTAGCAGACTGCCAAAATGTGGAGGGATGTCTTCCTTCAAAATCAAACATCAGCTCAGGCGGATGCGCCAGTTCAGGGGTACTTGCATCACACTCATTATTGCACATGTAGGGGTTGCCCTATGGAAGAAGAACAAAAGAGGGTGCATCAAAACACTGGTTTGACACGAGTCTTGCCAGATTGCCGTTGCTGAGTAAAAGACTAGGAGAGAAAGAAAGTGGGGGGGGGGACCCTGTTTGCAGTAATCATTTTTATTTGCCCTAACTGGATTCTCCTCTTTAATCGCTTTTTTTTAAAAAAATGAAGCAATATGGTAATTTTCTTGTCTTGTTTCCTTCCATGGGCTTTAAGAAATGAAACAGTTTATTTATCCCATATGTGTTAGACCCATAATGCGGTCCCAGAAGCACAAAGATACGGAGCAACTGTCTAACAGCTCAATACCTCTGCGTCCTCTTAGAAAGATGCTATAGAAAAGCAAGGAAATACCTCCAGGCCTCAAGGACGTTCCTCAAGAGCACAGTTCTTGAAAAAGTCATTTTTCAAGGAAACCTTTAGAATTAGCAATGAACCGTAGATACCTGTGTCCTGTTTGGGAAACAATACCCCCCATCCAACATTCAGCTTCTTCTCGCGTTGCCTCAAATCCATCACACTTAACTAGGTCCCTGCTTCATAAAACCTGCTCTTAAAGCATTTACTTTGTTCACCACAAATCATTAAAATGTGGTATACTACTAGGCTCTGGGGCTTGGTCCAAACATCTGCCATCCTATTAGCTCGAGGCAAGGGGATCTCACAGCAAAGACTTGGGGCAGAGGTGTGCTCCAAGTTCTGAGGATAGGAGCGTCCGGTACTTAATGAGAAGTGTGAGCCACAGCTACCCGGTGTGGTACTCTGTGCTGGCCCACAGTCAGCTGTCCGGGGATGTTAGCCACGACTATTTTTTCCCTCCTGACAAAGGCTTGTTTCCTTCACAGTCCACTCAAACAAGAAGCTGGAAATAAATCTTGTATCAATCACAAGTTATAATGCCACTTACGCTACACTTAATGACTGCTTTCAGTTTTCATCAGATGATTCCATGGCAAACAGCTGGCTCCCTGATTTTTGTTTATTTTGTGTTTAAGAAAATAAATGGTATCATTTGGAGTCAACTATTCAGGCATTTCTCCCTAATCCTCTACTGGGTAATCATAAACATGGATGGGTGAAAGAATCGACCCTCTCACATTGTCCTTAGGCTTTCTCTTGTAATTACAATTAGATTTTCCCCCCTTTTTCATGGACTGAGAGCTTTTCATCATACCTGCAGGATGCATGAGCTGGGTCTCAAATAATGAATTTACATTTTAGACCCCGACACTCAGTTACCAGCTGACTCCCGTGAAATGTAAGATGAACACTGGAGAATTGCTTTGGTCTCCCTAGAGGCAATTTCTCCTACCTAGTCAGCTAATACTTTCACTCTCTCTTTCCCATTAGTGCAACTGAATCCTAAAGCTGGCAACAGGTTTGGGGGACTCAAGTATAATTGAGATGGGGCAGGAGAAAGGAGAGAAGGTACATTATTTGAGGAACAGATCTGTTTTAAAAATACATTCAAGGCATCAGTGATAATGGAAATGTTTCTGTACTTCTCTCTCGAATTTCAATTCCCTATTCCTGATCCCAGCGTCTGTGGCACTATTTATAGTATCCCCTTCAAAACGAGCCAAGGGGGGAAAATAAGTTTCTGTTCCAGGTGGAATATATCACCAAATTTATTATTATTTAAACTCTCTTAAGCATACCAGAGAGCCAAATGCAAAGCTCTGCAAACTGGCAAAGGCTTTTTCTGGAGGGCTATAAATATTGTGGAATCTGTCAAGGTTTATAAATTCTAAATATATGTAAATGCACAATTTACTGGAAGGGGTCAGATTTACACAAATCACACCTTCGTTTGAAATTTACTGAAAAAATATGGTCACTTCAAAATCTACCAGCATGTAGCCATCTGCACAATCATTAACTTGGATGCTACCACCTTCCTCCTGACAAAAGCATCCTCATCTGAGGTCAAGGGTATCACAACGCAGGAAATCAACTCTGCAGGATACACCAAAGTGAGTTAGCAGAGATCTGGATTAAGTCATGTTGAAAGACAGCGTTTCTTCGACTTCAGCATAGATGTGCACATCTTCTCAGATGGGGATAGGGTGCTGAGACAGAGAGTGAGGCACAGCGGGCTGATTCTGGGGTCTGAGTCTACCCTAGCAAATGCATCTTAGGAAATATACTTGAGGATATCTATCTAAAAAGCATTCATTCCTACATTCGATAAAAGGTGTTGACAATAACCACCATTTATGTAGCACATGTAGCACTTATGAGTCAGACACTTTACATACATTATCCTGGGCAATCCTGTCCACTACTGCTTTACAGAGGAGAAAACTGAGTCATACACAAGTGTTACGTAATTTGCCCAATGTCATATAACAAAGTGAGTAAGAGGCAGAGCCAAGACCCACATCTCTTGCCCTCCCCTTGTCAGTTCCAAGTCAATGGTGTTATCCATGATGCAACCCAGTCTTAGAAACAGGGTTGGTAGTAGAAAGGAAGAGTCTAAGGTCAAATTAATTTGGGAAGCACAGCCTCAGATCTTGCCCTAGAGAGCCCTAATGAGCATTATCATACATCTAAGATGTCTTCAAGTTATGAATCTTCCTTAGCTTCATGTAACAATACCTACTTTGAGAAACTTTATTTCACCATGGTGCCCCTTTTCGCTTTAGTAACCCCTACTTATAAGCCGTAGAAGTGGTGTCCTGGAGAACATCCTTTGAGATTCTCTGCTTTATATTACTCTTAAAATTGTAAACGTGTGGATGCCAGACAGCAGTATAACCCAAAGTTTTAGTCCTTTAATGAAGACATGACCACACAAAGCACTCAGTCTCTGCTTTTGTTCTGCAAAGACACCCTTCCACTGGGGCTCAGCAGGACAGCCAGCTCAGGATAAATGCTTACATTTACATCAAATTGTCAGCCATCAAAATGCATGCCAGGACAAGAAGACAATTTTATTGCTTGGCACTGATCTGGTGCTTTAAGGTACCTGAAAAATGGGGAAAAAGTTTCATGCATGCAATAATTATTTATTGATTGCCTACTATACTCCTATATTTAAGGTACTTGTCTTGGCTTTCAAGATGCAATAGTAAACAAATCCAAGTCCTGGCTTTCAGTAGAGCTTCCGTTTTAGTTGGGGGAGATGCACTAAACAAATACATAATGTTCTATAATGTTACTTGGTGATAACTGCTATGGGGAAAAATAAAACCAATTAAAGGAGAGCGTGGTGTTGCAGGACGGATACTGACTGTAAATTTATAGGGAGGTCAGAGAAAGCTTCTCCTAGATAACGTGACATTTGAGCAGATTAAGAACGATTCCCAATTTACACCGGAGATGATCAGAGTTTGACCAGAATGATAGTTTCGTCCTTCATCTGACTCTACTCTTAGTGATAATTTCACCAGCATAGCAATTTATTGAAATGGATGAGTAAACAAATCATTTCTAATGAGAATCTACACCAATGGCTATAGATCCCCCCCCCAAAAAATCAATTTGAACCATAATTATTTCATAGCCTTCATGCTCTTTTAGAAGATTCATGATTTGATGAACATTAATGTAACTTCCTAAGAGATGATGATATTGAGAGAAAATTAGTAGGAAAAAGAGAAAGGTTTCATTCTGGTTCTCTAAGAAAAAAAAGCCTACATTTGTGGTGAGAGAGAATGAAAAAAAAAAAAAGACAGCTGAAGAAGCTGAAAACCTTACTATTCTAGAAAGAGAAAGCTAGAGGAGAGATTATACACTAAAATATTTCATGTAAATATTTCACATGGGTGTGATCTGTAATACTGTTGTTACAGAGAATTATCAATATGAAAACAATTGCTGTTAAAAGGATTATATTAATTAAATTTTCAACTACTTCAACCCCACCCTAATCCTCCCTAATACCATTAACAATGAAATTTATATAAGAAAAATAACTTTCCCCTACTTGTGAAAGCAAAGAACACTTCTTGCTGCTAAATCTAACAGATTCAAGCATTAGCAAGTGTAAGTAATTATTTTGTGGCCAGCAGGCAGCTTTAAATAGATCTTAATTTAAGTCCTACAAGCAACAGATTCTTAACTGATTGTCTATGGACAAAGCAGAAAATATTTATGACTGCACTGATAATATTTACACCATTAAGAGATGCCTAAATAATTAAACAGATATTACTGCTAAATGTTCTTTGTAACAATTAGAAGATGAAGATTGTGATGCTTAATTTCATTTAAAAATGTTAATATTTTACCTCTGGGAGAATTGAAATTAAGTTACTTAATGCGCTTTCAGAACTTAAAAGGATAAATAAAATTTGAGACATGTTTTTATTGTGTCTATTGATAAAATTACCTTCCTTCTGGCAAGAGATACTTTGACAAGACTCTCCTTTCAACTGGGATCTGCTAGACCTTTCAGAGTTAAAAAAGAAAATCCCATGTAAGCAATATTAAGGCAATACTTGTGGTTCCTATCATTTTGAACTTCCCCTTCCAAGCTTTACCTTATTGGCAAACAACTGGGAACGACAGTTGGAAATGTCTGGAGTCATCATAAGATGTTCACTACTCAAGTGTATGGTGCTAAATGCCAAGCAGGCATGTACTTACAAGTGGTGGTGAGAAGCATTTGGGTTAACACACCAATTGTGAAAAACAGTAAGACAGGGCTGCCTCACACCCATCTGCATCTGGCACATCCTTGCTTATTTGCTCACTAGGTGACATTAAAAAAAAAAAAAAGACACTTAGGTAAAGGGAGCAGGAACAGTATTCTGGGATAGCTCTCCCAACCTGTTTCCAACGTGACTTTGAAATAGGTATCGCTAGGTCTCTGCCAAGGCAAGCCTTTAAAAGGGTGAAGAAACAGGTAGCATAGTTCACTGCTCATCTCTCAGAGAGATGACCTATGAGCACACGTTTTAACTGCTGGGGTAGGCTATCATCTTGAGGTGATGACTGCCTTTTCTTCTCTTTCGTTGATGTAATTTTTGGTGGTTAGGAA